AAAATGGCCAAAAACGCTGTTTTTAGGGGTTTCAACCCCTTTTTTCTCGAAAACGTGACGTGATGGGAAGTTTTGGACCCCAGATTCGTGTTCAGCACGAAAAATCCGTTCGGAAATACCAGGTCCCGTCTTATTCGCAAAACCCTTGTAGACCAGTGTAATCAAAGTGTGCGCCTTGTTCTAATATAATATTCACAGAAGAATTTGTACTAATTATTTTTGAAAATATTGTTTATTCTATAATATAAACCATATAAGTCAAAGTTGCATACTTCATTTAAAGTTCACAAAAATGAAAGAAATTTTCATCAAAATTTTCAACCTTTTATCCAGAATTTCTAGGAAATTTTCGAGTATGCAGTTTTGTAGCCCACTAAAACGGTTAGAAAAACCCATTGATATTTGTGATTTTTTTTTTGGTGACGGACTTTTGCACTTTTTTCCAAATGCATGAATTTGACATGACAAACGTCTAGCCACCAACGTCTAGCATCAAAGCGAGATTCCTCAACATCTCGTCCATCTGCGCCCATGCCCCGACGGAAGAGAATGACGAGGCGTCCAAGGATCTCTTCTATGAGCGCTTGGAGCGTGCATGTGAGCGCTGACCCCGACACGATCGCGCTCGCCGATTTTAATTCCAAGGTGGGAAAGGAAGAGACTTTTGGCGCCACTGTCGGAAAATTCAACCACGACGAGGAAACGTCCGATAACGGACTGAAGCTAATCAACTTAGCCGGGGCTCGAAACATGGTAATATGTAGTACTAGGTTCCAGCATAAAAATATCCATCAAGCTACATAGCTGTCTCCAGATCGAAAAATGAGAAACCAAATCGATCATGTTGTGATACACGGAAGGCACGCTTCTGGTGTTTTAGACGTACGTACACTCCAAAAGCGAAACATCGACTCGAACCACTATCCTGTTGCAGCCAAAATACGCACCCGGCCCTGTGCAGCAATAAATATGCGCCCAACAATTCAAGGAAAGCTTTAAGTCGAAAAGCTGTAATCACAACAGACGGCTAATTTATTCGCCACTTGACTCTCACACCTGCTCTCTGAGAGCACCCTTCAACAAACCGACATACGCGAGCAGTGGAACTGCATTTCCCGCCGCTGAAGAAGTAGTCCGATTTCAGTAAGCCCGAAAGAACAACTGGCAACTGATGAGGAATGTCGAAAAGCTGCAGAGAAAAAAGATGCCGCCTACAGGGCCACGTTGCGATCGGGTGCAACGCGAGCCATGTGGCACCATTATAGGGAACTGAAGAAGGAAGCGAGAGGTATTTGCCGTAATAAGAAGAGAGAGGCCGAAATACGTAAGTGCGAAGAGCTTGAGATGCTGGCCGACAGGAAGAACGCCCGAAAATTCTACCAGAGGGTTAGACCGACTTACGGAAGGTTTCAAGACCGGGGCGAACTCCTGTAAGAACAACAATGGCGACCAAATGACAGATGTCCAGAATATACTTAAACTATTATTTCCACGCTACTGAATGGTAGCAGCGCTTAGAGTAGTGGACAAGATGAACCCGAGCTTCAGATTTGGAAGCCCTTTTTCTGACAAACATTACTGTAAAAAATGATTTAAAAAATTTAAGTTTTAATAACATTAAAAAGTTTGCGTCGGTGCTCAGTTGTTTTCGAGTCTAGTTTTTACATTGGTATTATTGTTTTATTGTAAAAGCTTTGTTCGAACTTACCGGATCTAAATCGGAATCCCAAATGTCTTTTAAATCACCATCGTAGAATCCTTCCATTTTTGTTGTTCTTACTTTGTTTTTACTTTGATTTTCTTTTTACGTTTTTAGTTGATGCTTTTACGTCGAACTCTTTTTTGATTTTGGCAGAGTTTAACCGTCGTAGTACGTTATCGGGTCGTCAAGAATGAGCTGGTTCTTTTTTAACCGCCTATTTAACACTTAATATATTTCTTAACTGCACACTTGTTCTTTATGTAACTTGGTGGTCTGCTTAAATAGTAGAAACATTAACAAAATAAAAATTGTATTCTTTGTTTGATTTCTTGTTTAATTTGAATGTATTTTTACTTTGCGCGCATACACTTAAGTTACCGGTTTCGAATTATCGCTTTATATGTGTATATACATATGTATGTATGTATGTAACTAGAATGCGGTTAAGCGTGAATATGTGAGGTCATTTATTAAGAATATTATGATTATAACTTTAACTTTTCTTATACATACAATTTAAGTACATATGTATGTATTTAGGTTTGATTTTAATCGCGCAGACGCCGGTTTGCTTTCTTTTCGTCGGGTTTTTTATTTTTGGTTTTTACGATTTTCTGATAGCCACGTCTCTACGTGGTCTTGCTTCAAGTGCTATTTTTTTGTTTTTGTTGCTTTTTCGTAACTTGAACTTCGTACGCGCGAGTTCGCAGGGGCCGGTTTTAGTGATTGACGTTTTTGTGTTTAGTTTTTTTTTTTAGTTTTTTCGTTGGCTTTGTTCCGAGTTCAAAAGTCTAACCTACTTTTCCAGCCTGGCATTTAAGATGTTTTTCTTTTTTTTTTTGAGCTCAACTGTGTAGTTGCGCAATATTTCCTTTAAATTTAAGATTTACCATACATTTTTTTTTTCAAGGAAAAGCAATTATGTTAGTACTTGGTTGTTAGAATATTTGATTGAGCAATTGTTTCATTTGTGCTGGAATTGTCAGATTATTATTAGCCACTTTCAAGATTATTAGTTTAGAATGGTGCACGTTTTTTTTTTTTTTTGTTAATCAAATATTACGATTTTTTAATTATTTATTTTTGACGAGAAGCTTAATTGGTAAGTGATTTTTTGCTTGAAATTATGCATATAAACTTTTGCGCTTTTTCAAATTGAAACTTTGCTTTGGCATTATTCATTTCTATTCTTGTTTTTTTTTTTTTAATTCAATTGAAGCCACTTTTATCGCAGTTTAGTGCGCGCTTACTCACTCCTTTTTTTCTTCAAATCACCACCCAGAAATTCTTTGAATTCTCCTTTGCAAAACCCGTTTTCTATAGCTCTGATTGCACCTCGTTTGGTTGCATAAACCAATGGCTTTGCTGCTGCTGCGGTTTCAGTTGTCTCGACTAACACTTTTCTTGCTTCAACAACAACTGCTTTTCAAATCTTTTTCTTCACTCAAAATTTACTGTTGCATCAATGCTAACAACGCACCAACACCAACATTCCTTGCTTTTCCACGGGTCTATATTTACGTACATATGTATGTATACCTCGTTTGTCGCTCGTTACTTGCCACTCTGCTATTAGGCACTTGTTGGCTGGCAACCTGTTGCTTCATCAATCCCGCTAAAATTGTGCCTGCCACTTGTTGCAAGCTGCCAGTTGTCACGGTCGCAACTTGTTGCTCACTGCAAACTGCATTCGTGCAGCATATTTTTCTTTGACTGTGTCTATGCAAGTGGTTTATTTTTTCTTGTTGTTTGCCAACTTTTCACAATATTTGCCAGCTGCTGCTTTCTTTATACTTTACTATTCATATATTTATTTTCCTAGCAGAACGGCATACAAAAATTCTTATTACCATTGATTGCTTCTGCCTGCAGTTTGTTGGCTAACAATTGGTTATGACTACTTTTCCACTTGGCGGCCGCTGGTGGCTAGCAGTTAGTCAGTCAATCAGTCACTTCGTCAATTGTTGACTTTGCCTTCGGCTTTGACTGCAGTTTGGCCAGAGAGCAGGCGTAAATGCATACAAATGTGTGTATGTATGTATGTGGATTGTTGGACTGCTGGTTGGGTTTATTTGATTTGCTGCGCGGTTAGCAGATCTTTGTTCTCAGTTTTGTTGTTTTTAGGTGCAACTTTTCCTATGGAATGTGTGTTTTTATCTTTCTTTTGCACTGCACTTTTTTATTAAGTATTTTTGATTTCTGAGTTGCCACTTTATTTATTGGCTTTTTACAGTTGACTGTAGTTAACTTGTTGAGAAATTGACTTCTTCTGCTTCTATTTATTAGCTTTTCTGCTTGTTTTTCTCGTGTCCGCCACTTTTTGTGTTCTGTTGTGTGCTTTTCCTTTTTT